GCTGAGAAAGAGGAGGAACGGGGTAGGCTACAGCAAGAGTAAAGAAGTGCTGTCACCTGCTAGCATACCAGAAACTGGCACAGCATTAGGGGCAAGGCTGTACGCTAGAGAAACAGACAACAGCCTCTGCTCTGTCCTAGGAACACTACCTAAAAACAGGTAAGGGGACAGAGCTGAGGTGTACTGCCAACCACAGGGTACCTAATGAAAGCAGGTACGTCAGGCTCTGCCAGAGAAAGGGAAGAGGCTGTCCCACTGAGCAGATCTCAGTGGGATCTCACCTGAGCCCTCCATACCACGCTGCTTGCTTACACCCACGAGATCAGTTCTGGTGCAAGACCTACTCACCGGGGCCATGAGCCAGGCTTTCCTGCGAGTCCGCAAGCACCTACAGAGGCCCACCCCGCAACAGGCACATCGCTGCGTGCCCCCACCTCGTGCAGCATTCAACTCACAAGCCCGCGTGCCTCTGGAGAAGCAATGCTGGCAAGGCTGCCCACAGAGAAATTTGGTTTCTGAGAAGAGCAGACAGCAGTAAGGCAGCCACACACAGAGCGGGGTGTCTGCAAGGGACCTGCACGCCACAGTGGCCCAGGGGTCCCCCCACGCCAGGGGACACGGTACCACAACCCTGAGCTAGGCTGTCGCACCCCACATTTGCACTGCACCGTCACGGGGCAGCGCTAGCCCGCCCTGCTGCGGCATGGAGCAATCCTCCTGAAGGCAGCTGTGCGCACCCCTGCAGACGGCCGAGCACTGCCGGCACGGTGCAGGACACCCACCGCGGGTACGTGACCTGACTGAGCGCCGGCACTAGTAAAGGGCTGTTTATGAAAAAGGAGAGGTGGGATTGTTTACTGACAAATGATCTGTACGAACAACATTAAGGTTACATCTCTAGTTACATCTCAGCAGAGTTCAACTAATATTAAATACCTGTAAGATGAGAAATGAAAAGTTACAGCAGAAGCAGAGGACAGTCTGCAGCAGCACCTCAGGATGGGGGAGCCACATTACCTGGAGTCTCTGAACTTAACACTCCTCCAGTTTTCAGACACGTGTTTAACGTGAAGGAAAGCCCGATCTTGCACAGACTGCACTGACCACGTTTTTGGGAGGCAGAACCCTTTCTCTGGCAGGTAGCAGGATGAACACTCGCACGTGGAAGCACTCCAACCTTTGCAGGCTCTCCGTTCCCTTTTTCAAGAGCCGCTAGCAGCGGGGCGACAGCCTTTGCTGATCACGGTCCCGCCGGACCCCTCGGGAAGCCACGCAAGCAGAGGTGGTCCTTGCGCTGAGACGCCGAACCGGGTCTAACAACAGGGCCTGTAGAGGGGGAGCAGCGTTGCTCGGAGCAGCTGCTCTTCTCCAGCACAGCGGTTCGCCAGCGGTGTTCCCGGGCCACGCCGCCCCCCGGCCCTGGGCGAGGTAA